TATCTCATGTTGCAGTGGGCTCACTCTGACTGGAATCCATGTGCCCATCAAAGCTGCTCTAACACTCTCTCCTCAGCTGTACAGGGAAAAGAAAAATATAACAAAAGGCTCACTCACCAGTTACCATCATGGGCAAAACAGATTTGACTCAGAAAAATACTAAACTTTAAAACACCTTCCTCCCACTTCTTCTTGGGGTTAACTTTACTCCCAGTTTTTTCCACCTCCTCCCCATCGCAGAGCAGAGGGACAGAAACAGGGTTTCCAGTCAGTTCACCACACATTGTCTCTGCTGCTCCTTCCTCCATGGGGAGAGAACTCCTCACACTCTTCCCCTGCTTCAGCATGGGGTCCCTCCCACAGGAGAAAGCCCTCCATAAACTTCAACATGATTGCTTCCCATGCACTAATTATTCCCAAACTGCTCCAGCACGAGTCCCTTCCACGTGGTTCAATCTTTCATGAACAAGCTCCTCCAGCGTGGGTCCCCCACGGCTGCCCCCTGCCAGCAAACCTGCTTTATCATTGGCCTGCCAGGAGCCTGGTACAGCACAGGCTTCCCATGGGGTCACAGCCCCCTTTGGGCACAGACACCTGCTCCAGTGTGGGATCTTCTCTGGGCTGCAGAGGCACAGTTGCCTCACCATGGTGCGCACAACAAGCTGCAGGGGAATCTCTTCTCTGGTGGCTGGAGCACCTCCTCTCTCTCTCTCTTTCGTCACCAGCCTTGGTGTCTGCAGATTTTTCTCTCATGCTTTCTAACTCCCCTCTCCAGTTGCAAGGGAGAATTCCCAGTCCTCCCCCCTTTCTTAACTCCATTATCCCAGAGGTGCTCCCACTGCTGCTGGCAGGGTTGGCCTTGGCCAGCAGTAGATTCATCTTGAAGCAGGCTGGCATTGGCTCTGTCAGACATGAGGGAAGCTTCTGGCATCTTCTCACAGAAGACTCTGTAGCTCCCCTGCTAAAGAACTTTGCCAATACACATATATAATAATAATAATAATAATAAAGCCAATACACATATAAACTATTTTCAAAATTCTAATATATAATATTCTTTACTATACCAAAGGCCACCACTCTGCAGAAACTGTCAGTTTGCATTTTAACCTGTCTCTAAGGACAAAGGTCCACATCAAGAATCATCATGGAAAACAGAAGCCTGCTGTTATGAAGCAAGCAGGGAGCTTCCTCACAAAACTAGCAGGGAGCATGCCAAGCATGCCGTCACTTAAAAAACTGATGGCTGAAAGCAGCAGAGAATCATCTTAACAACTGAGTATTCACGCTGGTTCTTTCCATAGCAGTATCTGTTCTGCAAATAAAGCTTCAACACTCTGGTTCTTTTACTCCTTCAAAACCATCTTCCTTTCAAAGGAAAAGGAGAAAGGCAGCAGTCATACTTACAGGAATATCTGTCAGTTGCAACATTAGCTTGTGGTTAAATCTGTCAATAGTCTGAGCCAACAAGGGTTGTTTGCTTGTTTCAAAGGTAAGTTTCAAAACATCAATTGCCCACATAGGATAACAGACGTAAAAGTGATAAGAAGCTTCTGCATTGATTTGGGTGATCTGCACTAAAGTGAGCATCAAGTCAGATCACCAATTCATAGCTTAAAATCATTGCACTATGGCATTTCACTGCCATCAACACGCAGCATCTGTTCTGCTCTGTGTTCAGCAGACTAAAAAATAGGTAGCATTAAGATCCATTAGCATATCTCTCAAGTTTGCAACTAATTTTACACATATCTGTGATCTATAGGCAGGATGCTCTTCCCCTTCACTCTCAGCTCACGTGTATCTTCTTGCTTTAAATTCTAATGAATAATTTGTTGATTCTTTCCCCAGAGAACTATCAAACGTGTATTTTCTCTTCTCCCCTAACCTCTTCTAGCAAGATCTGAAAACTCCCTTATTTTTTTACTAACCTAGGCACTCTTTGAAACTAAAACCCCCACAAACTGCAAAAAGCAACATGTGGGTCACGTGGCATCAGCACCATACTATTTCTGCCAGTAATACAATATGCTGGATTTGTTTTGCTGCAAGAGAAATACTAAGCCTGAAACAAAACCTTATTTTGCTTCTTACTGGTCAGGGAAAGAGTTTAACACCATTACAATGCATTTCTAATTTAGCAGCATCTAAAATGACTTTTAACAAGCAGGGAGATAGATTAACAGAATGTGAAGAAAAGTAGCAATTCCTTACCCCAAATAGGCAAACTAATGACTAAAAGAGAAATTAAGTAAATCCAGAAACAAAGCAAGCAAACAAACAAACAAAAAGGCAAGAAATATAATTAGTTATCATGTGAAAACTGGGGAAGAGAGTTTTAAAATTTGATTTGTTAGCCACTACTATTGGGCAGCAGTCGCCATTACAAACTGTAAGGAACTTGCAGTATCACTGCAAGAAAACCTGAAATACCTACAGAAACTAATAGCAGCAACTGTCCCTACCTTCTTAAATCCTATACGTAATTTCACATCCCAGTCCCTCTCTTCACTTTTCCTACTGCAACCAGAACTGCAGTAACTTCTTAGCTGGACAGGCAAGACAAGTTTATATCTTTCAAGATCCTGAAATCAGTGCTAATCTCTTTACCAGTGACAGGCAGAAGAGCTGATAACCATCAAACTGATGGCTCCTCACTGATGTACATAGCTCTATCTCACACAGCTGAAGAACCTTGTCATGAATGACATCATTCTGAGTACTAAACAGCAACATAAAACAAAACAGAACTACCACATAAGCAGCATGTTTAACTGGCATGACGGTTTTAACTCTTGTTAAACCTCATGGGATTTATAAGCTAGTACCATAACATATTTAAATAAACAAATAATCTGAAACAAGTGGTCTCAAGTTAAATCAGAGTTGTATATTCCCAGAGCAGAACTGGTCAAGTACGGATGCTCAAGGACACGTACAAGAACAAGGCAAGCACATCACTGCACTTCCCTAAACCCCACAGATCCTAGAACCTCCAAGATTTGCAGCTCTGAGATCTTCTGAGCCAGAAAGCACAATGCTGTGCTGAACTGATTTTTCTTCCACAGCTAAAGCATTGCAATTTAAGACAGTTCTAACTGGAGGTAGAACTTGCTGGAATATTCAAAAGTCACTGTGGTGCTGCAGGACACTCTGAATTCCCAAACTTGGGCCAAACAAACTCTTACAGCAACACATCTCCAATCACCTCAAGCCCCTGAAGCTGTACCTAGACCCAGCTGTAGTTTTTCCATGGACAAACATCAGAGGGTGTGCTGTCTCAGGTAAAATAGTCCTTTGGGTACATTTACAGAACGTTTTTGTCCCAGACTCCTCATACTAAGAAACCATAGCCTTTTTCCTCAGAAGAAACAGACCCTCACATCACCATCAAGAATTCTGAATAGCAGGAATTACAACAGGAGCTGAGGTATACAGCTCATCTGGATTTCGTAAGCAACTTTAAATCATAAATATTTTTAAAAAGCACAAACTTTATTTTGACAAGTTCTTTTGGTGCGGTTTTCCTTTTTTTTTTTTTTTTTTTTTTTTTTTTTTTTTTTAATGCATTACTACAATGCCGAGCATCTTCCACAGTTTGTCCTCATCTGACACTAAAGATCCAGCACCGACCTCCTGAATTTGTTCGGGGCAGGTTTCATCTCGGACTGTCCCGACCCCCCTCCAGGGAGGCGGCAGTCCGTCCGTCCCTTCCCGTCCCGCAAAGCAGCAGCCTCTGGGACTCCAAATCGCGCATCCCGGCACGGAAAACTTGCTTCCCCCTATCTCCAGCTGCGGAGCGGGCAGCAAGTCGGGCAAGCCGGGTCTCCCGGCGGCCACGGGGAGGTAACACTAACCCAGCCAAGGGGCTGCCACGGCACATGCAGCCGGTCAGTGCGCAAGGGCCCGGCGGCGGCTCGGTCCCGGGGGCGGAGGAGGCCGGGCAGGGCCGCTTGCCCGCGGGGAGGCGCTGGGGGCAGAGCGGCCCGACCTAACGCCGCCTCGGCGGGACGCGCCGCCGCCGCCGAGCCCGGCCGCAGAGGATGGGGCGAGTTCCAACCCGAGCGCCGCGGGGCGGCCCCGACCCGGCCCCGCCGCCCCGTTACCTGCGCGCTCCGGCCCCGCCGCCGCCTCCGCAACAAAGCCGCGGGCGGACGGGGGGAGGAGCGCGTGCCTGCCTGGGCGGTGGCGCCGCCCCGCGGGAGGGAGAGGCGGCGGCGGGGCCGGGGGGGAGCAGCGCTGCTCGGCGGGGGGGGCGGGTCTCTCCTGCCCGTCCTGCCCCCGCACAGCCAGTTGTGGTTCCTTCTCGGGTGTTAGCGCTGGCGTGCTGCCCAGGATGGACGGAATTTCCTACTGAGGGATGCAGTAACCACAAATGGAGTGACAGACCCTGCCAGGGATATCGAGGGAAAGAATGCAGTGGTGCTCATGGTTTCGGAAGAGGCCATATGGAAATAGGATTAAGCCTAGAAGTGCTTTAGGAAACCTGCACAGTGGGAAGGTTGCCCTTTGTGGGGCAGGAGGGAGGGGCGTATGGAAAATAAGGGAAATGTGCCAGAGAGACTTCCAGTTGCGGAACTGAATTAGGGGGCATAGATTTGGAATTTGAATACTGTGAAACAACTTATTGTTTCCTAACAATAGCAGAGGTTGTTTGGTTTTTTTTAAGGAGCAGGTGTTATGCTACTGTGTGAATATCTGTGTAACTTACATGCACTCTGGCCGTTATTCTCTTTAATGCAGGGACACATGCAGAAAACAAATCTATCTGACCAGTTTCTGCACTCTGACAAACTCCAAACTCTCTTTGCTGTCGAAATACTGTAGCAAAGTCAACCTTAATACTAGATTTGCTATTTGTACCCAAGAGAACATTGCACAGGGAGACCTACATCTCTGGAACAAAAAAGTGGTGATGCTTCAGCATCTGCTCTTTGATGATAGGGAACACTGAAGACTTGATCATCCAGGAGTATTTACTGAGCAGCATTATCAAGGAACCAAACCAAGGGAACTAAGGGAAATGCTAATGAAGCATTGAAGTTGAGATTTTAATTACTTAAAGGTCAGGAACATTCAAGTTTCATTAATTTAAGGGAGTTATTCTGTATTCCCACAGCAATCCACACTCAGCTCCTATATAGCTCAAAAATTCATGTTATTGTTTATTTGCTGATGCATTCAAGTGATATAACTGAACACTATACCTGACTATTATTCCTTTTTGCAATTAGGGTTCTGGTCTTCTAACATTTTATTAACACTTCTCTGTATATTTCCTACGTTCCCATCCTTTTCAGTAGCAATAATCCTGTTGCTTTGCTCTAAGCTTTGTTCTACTTTACAAAAAGCTACATTTCCTTTTAAGGCTGGAACCTCTAGTCAGTTAGCAACATTTGTGGCTAAACTATCACAAAACACTTGCAGGCACTCAGCAAACTAATGTATCGGAACACCCCTCTCAACTGTCTTGCCCACCAATGGTGCTGCCTCTGGGATGAGCCCATGCTGTCCCCCACATTGTACTCGGGTATCTTCTGGAAAGCAGAAATTGGCCTTGCCGAAAGCAGTGCTGGGGGCTGTCCGCAATGATGCTATGTCCCACCACTTCCAGCCCGTGCCCTGTCACCGTTTTGTTTACTAAGATGGGCCCACAGGTCCCTGTAACACATGTAATAGTTACTCTCCAAGTGACAAAATACTCATCAACATCGAAGAGATGGAACCAACCTTTAGACTAAAGGTTTTTAAAGGACAGTAGATTTCAAAAAGACAGTCTGTGAGCCCAGCAGCACCACCGATCCTTCCTAGAAGTTGATGAGCAGAGGATGTGCGGGTGTTAGCTGGGTCCCAGCAGCGGTGGGGAAGCAGGATGCGCGCTGTATGGCACCAGCGCCGAGGCGGGAGTGCACGGCCCGAGCCTGAGCAGGCGATCGGCTGCCGTCCCCCGCCCCAGCCCGGGCGATCGCAGCGCCGGCCGTCCCGGCTCTGCTCTAAGACAGAGGCTGCCGCAGCTGCGAGCCGTGCCCGGGGCCGCCCTCTGCCCGGGGCCGGCTGCCAAAGGCCGCCGCGGGGCCGCGCAGCCCGGCGCCCCCGCCCCCGGCGTTCGCGGCTCCCCCTCCCGCCCGCAGATAACCGCGGCCCCTCAGGCGCTTCCCCAGCCGCCCAGCGCGGACTCGGCCCCGGCTCGCAGCCGCTCTCCAGGCGCCAGCTCCCTCTCGTCGCCGCCGCGGCGCGGGTAAGGATGGCTCGGCAGCCCCGGGGCTTTCTGCAGGAGGCCTCTCACCAAGTCGTCGCCGGAGGCTCGGCGGGTGAGTGTGCGCGTTCCTCGTGGGCGGGAAGGGTCTGCCCGTCCCCCGCCGGCGCTCCGCCAACTTGAGGCGCAGGCGGCCGCGCCGCCTCCACCTCTCCGCGCTGCCCGGGCGGCGGGGAACGAACTGGCTCAGCAGCGGCTCCTCCCCCGCCGAGCGGCGCAGGCGGGCCCCGGAGGCGGCCCAAGCCCGGGGGTCCCGGAGCAGCTTCTGTAACGGTGCTCGGCCCGCCGGTGGGGCAAGGGGGTGAAGGGGCGCTCCCTGGCTCCGCGGTGTATCTGCGCCACACACGCCCTGCAGCCCCTCGGGCGATAAGAGTGGCGGGCGGGCCCCTTCAACGGCAGCAGCCGCCGGTGTCCTGCAGCGCAGCCGGCCCGAAGGGCTGGAGCCGCGCTCGGGGGAGTCCACGGCCGGGATCCGCCTCCAGCGCCTGGATACGGGACAGAAAACGTAGCTGCCCAGCTCGGACGCCTTCCACGCGGCACTTTTCGTCGCTGAGTTACAGAGAAACCAATGCAGGGCTACAGTGGAAATGCGTTTCTGTGGGGTTTTTGAAATACTTTTAGGAATGTCGACATTACTCGTTCATTTGTAGTCTGTACTGCAAACTACAAATGTCAAAATCGTACACGTCTGTTTAGCAATGAAAGCGTTGCTGGTCAATTTCTTCAGGTTTCTTACCTAAATCCCGGTGAAACTGAAATATTTAAATCGGCCTGAAGTGTAGGGGATTTTAACACAATATCCTGCTCTTTCAGTCTGCATATATAAATCCTGTTAATATTTCAACTATGTGGTGTGTTTTTAAGTGATCCTTAGTGTCTCTTCTGAGGTCTAAATGCTGTTTGTCACATTATGTTTTACATGAAAGAGAAGAGCTACATGGTAGTGTTGCTGTGTCTTATATAATGCTTCAGTGTAATGTGTGCAAGAAAAATTCTCCTGTGATTGAGATCTGTGTGGCCGTGATACTGCATGTGAGCTGGCCTTCCATTCCCTCTAATTCCCCTTGTACCTCTAAATCCACCTCTATGCATTCCTGCCACCAACACACATTTGAGCAGTTTATTTTCATGCTAGTGACTCTGTATGCCCTTTGTTTTCAGCCTTCTCCTTTGACAGCGAGAGATGTCATAGCACAAGTGGGGAAGTCTGGTGTCCCAGTGTATTCTGAGTGCTGTCCCTGCCCTTCCAGTGTATTATATGACTGTTTATGTAGCTTTTCTGCAGCCTTTGAAATTCTAAAGGTTTTTTGGATTTTGCTTGGTACCACCCCCATCTTCCTACAGGGGAGAATGGAAAGGTTTAATCTGTCCTAGACTGGTGAAAACCCTTCATACCTGAAGGGATACTGAGGTGTTTTGCCACCAGATGTTTTGCAAGATGACACATTTATCTGTCCTTAGCAGTTGGCCTGTACCTTAGTGATTTAGATGGATCTAATGCACTGTGTTACCATTCTCGGGCAGGAGCCTGTTTTTGTTACAGGTTCTCTTTGTAGAAGAAGAGATTGCCTAACACAACAGAAAGAAAATTGTCATTTAGATAAATGAAAAATATTTGGTAATCTGGTAGGCATCAGTCTTAGGGTGAGAGAATTTTCAAGGAGACTATTGATCTGCATGGAACACTTTTTAAAAAAAAGTATAATGTGAGAGGCCTGTTGTATCTAGTCCAGAGACATAGTGTTAAAGATGCTTGCAACCTTTTGCTTAATCTCCTGTCAGGCAGGCAAGTTCCTTGGCTGTGTCACTAGCCTTAAATTTGTGCAGAGATTTCTATTAATTGGTTTTGAAATAAACCAGTAATTATTTATTATCGAAGTCTGACCAACACTAAAATCATACCAGGGGATTTTTAGATGTGCGCTTGCTTCAAATGGGAGCTCAGAAGTGTGTTAAAGGGAAATGGCTGAAACTTAAAAACTTGCTTGACAGCTGCTTAAAACTCAGTAGTGTTTTTTTCCTGCTAATTTATAGAGAAAGTAGAAGGTGAAGGCTGGAGTTTTGAGCTCTTCAGTCTAAAGGTTAAATTTCTTCAGCAAGTGTAGATACAACATGGAAAGGGTGGAAGCAAGGAGAAAAGGATTTCCTGACCTTAGTTTCCCAATATTACATTGACCGTCCTATATTGTTTCGGCTGTCTCTGCAGGAGGACATAGGACCCTTGAAGGTGTTTTGTTCTGTTTCCTGGCCTCAGGTGAATGCCACAGACATCCTAGGGTGACTTTGCTGTCTGTACCATACCCTGGTATTTAGAAAGAAAACCAAAAAAAAAAAAAAAACCACCAACAAAACAAAAACCCAAAAAAACCCAAAAACCCCAACAAAACAAAGCCCCTCCAAAAAACCACCCCCAAAAACACCCAACCCCCAAACAGACATAAATTAGTCTTAGTTAAGCTGGTTTCTAAGAAAGATACTATGAGTTGGACTCTGTCAGAGCATTGGTAGGAAAGTACTGAGGTGGTTTGGAGTGAATGGCACTGCCCAATAGGTGTAATTGAAGGGTCAGAAATATTGCCTGCATAAGTAAAATGAGAGGTTATTTAGTATCTGCATGTCTGATGCAAAAGGATCTGATAAGAAATAATTCTGCTAGGTTGAGTGGAAAATTATTAGAGATAAACCTAAGCTGGCAGAACAGGAAGAAAGGGATTTTTTGACTCTTTGTGGGAGATGACAGGACTTGTTCATGGACTTAATAAAGACAGGAGAAGTGAAAGAAAGAAAGAAAGACATCAAGCATGACCCCTAGTCTACAGGACTGATAAAATGGAAGATACTGGCATGCTGGAAGAAGGAGAAAGGAAAGTATTCAGTGTTTTAAGAGCAAATATATCAGCAAACCATTGGCTGTCAGAGGCATTGCTAAGTTAAACTTGAACAGCTCTCTGCTGTAACTGAATTGTAAAAGTCAGGCATGACAGATCTCGTGCATACTTTGTCTGTGGCAAGGAGTGCATCTGCTTTCCTGTGGCTTGTAATCTGACTTCATGTGAAAGGGAAAGCTCTGCTTCCTGAGAGCGAATAAAATTTTAAATATGAACGAAGTCTTACTCAGTCTTGGCTTACTTCTGCTGGCATTGTTTGCTCCCAGCTTTCAGATTCCTCAATGACGGTTAATAGCATAATTCAAAAGACTTGGTTTTGTTTGTTTGCCCGAGTGTATGAAAATAGTGAGGAAAAGGACTTCGATTGAAGTGTAATTGGGACACTTCGTTAGTGAGTTCAGGCCCTTGTAGTACAGGGAACTGCAGGCATGCTCCTTTTCTCTAGTGGTTAATTAGTAAGCTAAGGCATGTGTGGAATTTATAGCAAAAAAATGAAACAAAATCAACTCTAAACTGTAAGGATCATTGTGAAAAGAACAACTTGGGAGCCTCTGATTTCCTTAGATTTATAGCAATTCTTCAAAATGTTATTTGGGAAGCTCAGTCAATGCAGGGTTCAAGTCATAAGAATTGTTTCTCTAAAACACAAAGATCAAAAAAATCCTTGTTTTGCCTGCCTGTATGGAAAAGGCAGAAATTAAAACAATAGTGTTGCATACAAAGTCAGTGGATATTTATTTCCTCATAGAGAGGAACTGAATAGTGCAAAGTATGTTATGTGATACCCAGATTAATTTGTCTGTTAAAAGACATACTTGTAACAGAGTGTTGAGTCAGTTTGAATGATGAAGTGCAAATGTCATAAACAATTGCACAGATAAGGCAGGTGGCTTCATACAGTTACTGTGAATTTTGGGATGCTTCTGTTTGATATAGGTGTGTTCTTGTTTTTTTGATAACAAAAGACTGCAGATAAAACAATTAGCTAAAACCACATGTAACATAAATAAAATTAAATTTATATTTAGTTGTATGATAGCCTCTCTTTCTTCCATACATGTACAAATAACCTATAAACATTTTAAATTTTGAAGTTAAAATTTTGAGTAATTTATTTCATATATTTAGTAAGTGATAAATACATGACTTGTTTTTCAGATCTGTAATGCTTAACCAATCTTTAAGTACTTTTTTGCTGAAAATTCAGTGTGTTTCTTTGCCTAATTCCATTTAATAAATGAACATGAGATATAAAATTAATTACTGTAAAATGAATATGGAAAAGTCAGGAAAAAATGAGTTTTAGAACAAAGCAGTTACTTCATAGGGATAATTCAGGCTGATCTTTTTTGCTCCCTATTCTTCATGTTTTCATGAAACTGCAGGGTTTCTGCCTCTCTGTACTTCTCGGCTTCAATTTTTTAATATTTTTTTTAATTCTTTTTTGAAGAGTTAGATTTCCAGCTGCATTGAAACCTAATAGGATTTTGGAGTCTAATTCTCTTAAGCTCCTTTGAAAGTCCAAACATTTTTTCTTGACTGGTGTTTTATTTCAGGAGTAGACAAAGTTGATTAACCTGGATAGCAGCAACTTCTTTGAACCAGATCTATAAGCAGGAAAGCCACTTGTCAAACTAAGACTGTCGAATGTAGATACAGTATTAAAACCAGTGTTTGGTCTTCCTGTTGCAAGAGGCATTAGGCAGGCAAAAATCATTACAAGGTACTCTAGCCAGCATAATCTGTGAAACACCTTAGCTTACTTGGTCCCTATGAATTGGAGAGTATGATAGATGTACAGGAAGCACTTGAAACAATAGGAAAATTGTCTAATTATTCCTCTTCCCCTTGCTTGTTTTTATTTTTATGACAGTTTTCTGGGAATTAAAGTTAGGAAGAGTATTCCATGTTTCCTTGGGTACTTTTTTCTTCCTTTTAAGCCATGCAATGGGCATTCATATGTTACTAAAATAATTGGTTAATGCTCAGAGGTAATTTCAACTAGCTAAGTACTTAGCTACACCTTGTAACTTTCTTGACTTGAAACCATAAAATTTTAAAGTGCTTAAACCTTCATTTTTCCATTTCTGTGAAGTTACTTAAGGCTGAAATATTATCTGAGGCCACAGTTCATGCTCAGTGTCTTGCTTCATGCTTCACTGCCTTG